AAAAATGTATGGATAAATGGGTTTAATGAATGGCTCACTGTGTCACACTGCAGCTTCCATAACCAACTTTTCTCTTTCTTCCTTTTTTTGCCTCTTAAAATTATTTTGTGGAGGAAGGAGATCGGTAGGATTGGGAGGAATGATATGAGAGACACAAAAAATAAAAAGAAAGTTAAAAATGCTAATTATAATAAAGCTGCAAACTCCTGAGAATTTCTTTGGGGGAGGGAGAACACTCCTTGAGAACACTAATTTATTTGGTTTAATGTCAGTGAAATAGTAATTGCCATTCTACAAATAGTCCTCATCCATACAACACTTTTGTTTCTATATAAAATTCCTCTTCTTATATAAAAATTCTAATTCCAATACAACTATTTGTCATCACATTCCATTTATTGATGTACAATTTTAATATACATTTTTGTTAAATGTAATAATTTATTTCCTTTCTCTGGGGATTTAAATGTTATATTCATAAGTGAGATGAGTCACATTGGGCATTTGCAGACATGATTTGAAAACATTTTATTTCTAAATTTTAAAGTGAAAGATCTATAATTAGGGACTAGACATTAGGGTTGGTATTTACAATACCTAATGTCAAATATATACCACAGTGTGCAACAGTGTCCTAAGCCTTTGATAGTCTACACGAAGGTGAAGGCCAGCCTCTGCAATGCTAGTTTTATGCTTTTTTTTAAAGCAAACTCATAAGTGAATGTTCCTGCTTTTCTAAGAAGCAATGTTGACTTACGTGGGCCAGTTGAGACAAAAATGCCATTGCATTGAGGATGATGTTACTGACAGAATTACTGTCACGATCCCAGTTAAAATTGTCCTTTCATGTGGACAAATATTCATTTTTTCAATCCAACAGATAAATGCCCATTGGTGGAACACACACAGATGTATAACCTTTTAACACTGCTCATGTTATAATATCCATTTTAATAAATAGTGGCTTCTCCTATCTCCACCTTACAGACATTGCAGATTTAAATAAAATAATAGAAATGGTTGAACCTTGTGGATCAAAGACAACAGGTGTTATAAAGAGAATTGATGCTAAAATTTCTGAAAGCAAGTAAGACATGAGGAAATGTGAAGGCTTAAAGTTTAAATACAGTGATAGTTCAGAAGCCAAATGAATTTAAGATTCCTTTTAGTGTTATTCCAACCATCTACAACCAGGACCTTAAAGAGGTACCTGACTAAAAATGAGGAGCTGCCTCAAGAGTTCAGGAAGACCATGCATGCAGTCTGATTTTCATCTTTTTCACTTTTTCCTGTAGGTTAAAAGAAAGTGTAAACAATTGTGATTAATTGTTGATATCTGTGTCATTCATTGCAATGCAAAATTTATTTTTAATTAAAATCACCATCTCTTAAATGTAGTCGGCAAGTATCAATTAAATAATGGTTATTAAAATTTTCTAAAATTGCTTTGCATTGAATTCTGTGTTGGGATGGCTGCATTTGTGTTTATTAGCTACATGGAACTACTAGTTTTGCCATTGCATTATTTTGGCTTCCTGTTAAATATATATATATATATATATATATATATATATTATATATAATTGCTGATGGGTTTGGGTCAATTGTCTTGGTCTGGGACTCGCCAGCCAGTAGTTCATGAGTTTGTGTCTTTTGCTACCATTCTGGATGATGTGGTAGGTTACTGGGCAGTACTCACATGTAGGAAAAGAGCTCTGAGTGAAGTCACAGTGAGACTTTAGCTTCTAGATCACATGGAAGGTGAGGAGAACACCCTCATAACAGTTAGGTGTCTGAAAAAGGAGCACAAAGGGTGCAGTCAGCAGTGGCCACTGAATCTTATTTTATGTTGAGGCTGAGCCTCCTAGATTTCAACAATACAAAATTTAATATATACATGTAAAAATATACAGAGATGTATGTACACACACACACAGACACACACACACACATATTTACATTGGATAATTGGGGAGGGGAAAACACTAAAGATAGTATAAAACATCTTAAGTGGACTGGTAATACTTCCCTACAAGGTCACACAGTTCCCGCTGTAGTTTCAAAGCAGAAGTATGAATTGTGCTTGCTAGTATTGCCTGATTATTTCTCATTGACAAGACACTGTGAAGAAAGGGAACAGTTTAATGATATTGTGGATAAAAACACCTCTCATGCAAAGTTAGCATTGTGGAGGCTTGAATGAGTAATTTAGTTATGGAAAAGCTGAGAACATGAATCTTCTTTCCATGCATGAACATGGAGAGTGAAGCCAACCATGCTTATCAGAATGAGTGCTAAAGTTCTGGGCAAAAGAAATTCAAAGATGACAAGCTATTTTAGGAATCTTGTTACTTGTGAGAAATGACATAGCTTTTGAAAGTTAAATTTAATAGATAAATAAATCTACAGGAGATGTAGATCATTGCTGCTCTTATTAAAAAGTAGGAACTACAGGAAATTAAAGAATGCTCAGAGTGAGAGAAATGGTCTTCCTCAGGGAAGAGCACACCAATTGGTTACCCAATATTAAATGATCAGCCCTGACAATGTACATGGGAGTAACATTATACAGACTGAAAAAGTTTTATTTAGGAATATATATGTATACATATACTTATTTGCATGCAAAAATAATGAAAAACAAGGAGTATGTGGGAGGGTTTAGATAGGGGAAGAGGGGAATATTGTCATTATATTGTAATCTCAGAATTTAAAAACAATAAAAATAAGTGGTAGAAATTGTGTCAGAAAGTGATTACAGGAGATGCAGGAAGCAGGCAATCCAGACAACTAGAAAAGTTGCTCCAAGAAAAGCACCGCACATGTAAGTGTGGTGGGAGAGGAGAGCTCAGGAAGACGGGAGGGACACAGTGCTCCCGGGGCTTTCATTTTCTATCAGTTAGAAGTGGCAGGAAGAGGACTTTAGAAATTGTAGCTCGTTCAAAGCAATACCTATGCATGTGCTGCTCAACTTCCTGGAGCATTTTGAAACCATATTAGGAGGTGCAGATCATGGTGTTAAGCCACACTGAGCCACATAGAAAGAAAACAGTATTAGCTTTACTACTAACGTGTTTCTACTTTTCTAATTATGTTGAGGATGAAATGCCATGCTAATATGTCCTCTCTATCCCTCACTCATGGTTATTTTTAATCTTTGCTTTTATAAGCAACTACCCTAGCTGGATGTTTATGACACTTCTAGCTGCATCTTTGTCTCTCAGTGTGCTTCCTGTGTGCGTCTATGTGCATGTGTAGAAACACATATACCACAGCATTCATGGGAAGGTAAGAGAACAACCTTGGTTTCCAGTGCTTGCCTCCTACCCTGTTTTTAGAAAGACACTCTATATTGTTATTCATTGCTGAGCATACCAGACTGGCCAGCCCACAGGCTTCTGAAAATTCTTCTGTTTCTATCCTGCCACCCCCATGTCACTGTGGGCTCTAGAATTACAGAGGCTGTCTTCTACACCTTGAGTTTTGAAGATACAAATTCACATCCTAATGCTTGCATAGCATGCACTTTATCCACTGAGCCATCCCCTCAATCCCTTGTATGATATACCTTCTGGCACATGATATCAGTTTTTCATTTACAATAGTCAGATAAAATGTTTTTTTTTTTTTAAAAGGAAGTATATTTAAGTAAAAAGAGTGTTTGACTGTAAATAAAAGCTGGGCATGGTGGCACTCCCATGCCTTTATTCCCTGCACTCAGGAGGCAGAAGCAGGAGGATCTCTATGAGTCCAGGACAGCCTCTATGAGTCTTAAAAACAAAACAAAAACTAAACCAAACTCAAATAAAAAACACCAAACCAAAGCAAAAAACAACCTAGAATATTAAGTACTAAAGAGTGTGTGTGGTCTTACAGGGATAAGATACAAGTCATGACAGCAGTATGCAAATGAAGGGAGTTTAGCCTACACTAATCCAGAGAGATGCTTCAAACATTCTTTTATTTATGAAAGCTTCTGGGGAAGTTTCACCAATTAGCATGTGCTAAAAACTCCCCAGTATACCCTCTCAGTATTAAGGACACAGATCCCTGGGAGGGGACGTAAGCCTCCCCTTGTCCAACACTAGGGAAAACAATCAAAAAGTTAAAAGAGGTAGCTTAGATGGACTGTGTAGGTAGGAATACAAATGAACCACTCTTGGAATGAAAGAGAGACTGAATACTTTGTTCACCACCAGACGGGCATACTTCCTGTTTGTGCAAATTAGCTTGTAACAATAGAGCATATTAATAAGAGAATACAGAAAGCAACAGTTGCCCCGTTGTCCTTGTCACAAAATAGTTTATTGTACTGGTTGGGCATTTAAAAACAAAGTATATGATCTTTAAATTTAGTTAAAATACTAGAATTTCAGTCATAGACAGATTCCCTGCTCTTCAATAAATCATACAATAAGCTTGTGTCAACATACTTCATTAGGAGGGAATGATTCTTGAATAGCTCGGGATGTATGACAGTGAACAGAGTTGGTTTTCTTACTCTGTCCTTTGTTTGGACTTGTCTTATCAGGCCAGCTTCACTCAAGAGATTAGTACTCAGGTAGTTATGATGTTTCGGGCGCAGATACATCATAAATGCAGAAGTTCCTGCTTGGGTGGCCAGTGAATAAAAATGGATCATTTTATGGAGTTTTGGCAGCCTCTAGTAACTCTCTGCAAAGGCAATTCAATGTATTGAGAAGCTTCGGCACAGCCAGTTCATCTGCTGCCTTGTTCTTTGCTCATTCCAGCAGGGGTATTAAAAATTACTCAGATGTGTATCAGTGTAGGGATGGCTGTGTCGTGCATGATATGGAAAAAGGTGGAGTTGAGTAAAAGGTAAGAATATAAGGAGATCTAATGATGGGTTTTGTATCTCCTGGGGTTTTCTGGTGACAGATTGGTCCAAAGCAAATCTCACTGGGTTGTAAAGTAGAGGCTCAAACTTCCATGTCCTTATTGCCCTGGGACTGAAATTGCTTCTCTTTTTCTGCTTTACATTTCCTTTTTTTTTTTTTTAAAGCCACCTTTCATCCATTTTTTTTTTTGTTCCTGTAGCACAGTTAGTAGTAAACATCTGTCTTTTGCTATTGGTTTAAAAGATTTAAGGCTTTGGAGAGTTTGTTACCCAGAGTAGCCTTTCAATCAATCCTTCCTGAACTGAATCTTGAGAAGTGCTTAGTCTGCATCAGGAAATGAGCAGGCTGCTGTCAACGTACAAGAGTCCTTCTAGCTTTTGCACTTTTTGCTCAGTGTCTGATGTCTTCATTTCTGTCGCTCTAAAACAAGATAAAAGGAATCTCACTATTTGACCTGTTTTGAAAATTGAATGCCATAATGCCATAATGGATGTAGTAATTTAGAACAATGCCTGGAAGATATAGGAAGGGGCCAATTATTTTGATATTTAAATTTTGTAGTAGTAATCTAATGCCCTTTCTAAGGAATGCTCAAAATGGGTTATAGAGAATTTCAATAGGAAGAAAACTACTGAAATTGAGGACTCGAGGTGTTCATCATGTTGCTGTTGGAGTTCATGTACCTTCCTCTGAGCAAGAGCATGTATGCATGTGCATGTATGAATGCCAGAAGTCAACCTGAGGTGCCATTTTTCAGGAGTTATTTGCCTTGTTTTTGGAGACACAGCTTCTTACTGAAATTGGAGCATGCCAATTAGGCTGGACTGGCTGGTCAGCAAGCCTCAGGGATACCCCATCTGTTTTCCCAGCCACAGAGATTATAAATACAGATTATCATGTCCACCTTTTTACATATGTTCTGGGGAGAGAATGCAGGCAAATACTTAACTGGCTCAGCTTTCTTCACAACCCTAGAATTACTCATTTCCCATTTTCTTAGAAAAGCTTAAAGCTGAATATATGATAAACAGGTGAGATTATTAAGCCAGGGATCAATGAAACTCAATAAAATGCCACACAAATTTATTCCATGTGTCGCTTTCCAGATAGAGTTTAATTATTATCTTCTTGAGTTCTGTGTCTACAGTGTTTTCAGATGGATGATTAATAAATCAACTTGAGTTTTTTTTTTTTTTTTTTTTTTTTTTTGGTTTTTCGAGACAGGGTTTCTCTGCGTAGCTTTGCGCCTTTCCTGGAGCTCACTTTTTTTTTTTTTTTTTTTGGTTTTTCGAGACAGGGTTTCTCTGCGTAGCTTTGCGCCTTTCCTGGAGCTCACTTGGTAGCCCAGGCTGGCCTCGAACTCACAGAGATCCGCCTGGCTCTGCCTCCCGAGTGCTGGGATTAAAGGCGTGCGCCACCACCGCCCGGCTCAACTTGAGTTTTTATTCTGGAATTCTCTCCTTTACCCAGGTAACAGAGAAATTTGTTATCAAAGCCTTTGTGAGCAGAAAAGGGGAACTTACCCACTGGGTTGATCTTCAACCTTGGATTAGGCTGGAGGTGGTAGTACAGGACTTTAATCCTCAGGCAGAGGCCAGCAAATCTATGTGAGTTTGAGGCCAACCTAGTCTACAGAGGGAGTTCCAGGACAACCAAGGCTACACTAAGAAACTCTGTACTCTGTCTAGGAGAGAGAGAGAGAGAGAGAGAGAGAGAGAGAGAGAGAGAGAGAGAGAGAGAGAGAGAGAGAACAATGGATCTCTCTAGGTTCTGAAACATATCACATCACAGAAACAACCAAAGCCTTTCTTTGTTTTAATACCTACTGCTGTAAGCCTGTCATTTCTGCAGTCATGTTTTGATAGAGAACATCAGTACTATATCTAATTTCTTATTTGCTGCTGCTATTCTTAACCCTTAATCCTCTCTTCCAATTCACTGAAGGACATAAATCCAACAGAAGGGTTTCCACCACTGGAAAAATTTAGACAATGCTTTCATGCTGGCCTCTGTAAACTCTTACAGTGTATCATTCTTAGCTCATTTTTCTTTGTCACTGATTGGTCCTTATTATGTTTTTTAAAGATTTATTTATCTTCTATTTTATGTGTATGAATGCTTTGCCTGTGTGTATGTATGGGCACTGGATAATCAGACCTGGAACTGTTGATAGGTATGAGCCACCATATGTGTCCTGGGAGCCAAATCCCAGTTCTCCGCAAGAGCAGTGAGTGCTTTAACCTGCAGAGCTGTCTTTCCAGCTCTTAACTTGTTCTTTTGATTTAAGAGGTTTCATTGTCTTTTGAGCATTAATTTTAGTTTTCATACTCTTTAACACAGAGAATACTGTGTCATCCATTTATGACTGCATTTTTTAACTGCCGACATTGTTCTTTAACTGCTGGCACAGCTTCCTGAAACATGATGTTGATCTCTGTCTTTCCTTTGACCCATAAGCAGGTTCTGTAGATGATAGCGGAGGAGGCCTATTACAATATAAGTCATGTTGCTTTTCCAAAACTAATATCTAATGACTTCTTTGTATTCAGGATAGGAACTGCAGTCTGTACCACGGCCATTAAGTTCTTGATGTAGCCTATGTTGTTTTTCTGGCATGGCTTTTTTCTTTCCATTCTATTAATATTCCTCCATTCGGGGCTGGAGAGATGGCTCAGAGGTTAAGAGCACTGGCTGCTCTTCCAGAGGTCCTGAGTTCAATTCCCAGCAACCACATGGTGGTTCACAGCCATCTGTAATGAGATCTGGTGCCTTCTTCCGGCCTGCAGTCATACATGCTGTATACATAAAAAAAAAATATTCGTTCATTCATACCAATATTTTGCTGTTTCTCAAATATCCTAAGCATATCTTTTTTTTAACCTTAGGGCCTTTATGTTTGTGGTTTCTTCTCCTTAAGGTTTTTCCAAGATAGTCCTAAGAATTTGTGTTTCACATACTTAAGAAAATACTCAAAAATCATCTTAAGTGTATATAACTTCTTGACCAAATATTTTAAGTAGCAACTCTCCCCCTTCATATTATTTTGAGTTTTCTTCATGCTACTAAGCTATTCATCACTGCTGAATATTTAGTTTTGACTTCACTCCTATGCTTATTGATAAATAATAATAAATATTGATAAATCCATGTAACTATCCCACAGCTCCTTGTGTATATGTATGTGTGTGTGTGTATAAAACTATTCCACAGTCATATATATATATTCATATATATATATATATTCATATATATATATGTCTCCCAAACTGAATCCTATTTTATGTGCAGGTAATACTCAAACATTTGCAAGCTGAACAAAATTTCTTTATCAGATTTCATTTCTTCCTGGAGCCTTTCGCATGCAGGATCCTCACTCTCCATGTTGTTAATTGCTCTTCTTCTCTGCTTCTACAACACCTTGAGATTATCATTAAATACTGCATTATTTTATTATAATAATATGGTTCTTTTAATTATCGCTCTCCCTTAATAAGCTGTAATTTCTTTAAGGGTAGAGAGTGCATTTGACATATCTATTAACTGTCAGCAGTACAGTATTGGCAGCATAGACTGTGCCATGAGAATGTTGGTTAAACTCATCAGTGTTCTTTGAAGATAGGTGGATAAGGGGTCTACGAGACAAAATATGCAGATAATAGAAATAGGAAGAAAGGGTCCCATGACTTAGCCTGGTTTATTGCCAGGATTAATAGAACTTTATAAAGCAGAAGGCCTGGTGGCTGGAGGCAGGGAGTGGATGTGGAATGAAGTTGGCACACATTGTTAGCTCTAGTTAAGGATTCCTTGGAGGAGAAGCTAGACAATGGAAGTAGGAAAACAATGCCTGGTTCTCTTAGCTGCTTCACAGCACAGTGAAGCAGTGAAGTGAAGTAGTGAAGGTGGATGGCCCAGCTTTAGCAGACCTACTGGGTATGGTAGCAGGACAAATTACATAACTGCATGTTCCAAGAGACCGAGAAGCATCTGTCTAATGGAAGGGAAATAGAGAACAACATCATGTTTCAGAGAACCACACTAGTAAACAATTCACAGAACAATTGTTAGTGTGTTTTCAGTGTACTGATAATTGGATAATGGATTTTTTTTCAATGCTTGGCTGTTCTCTTATCCTCTTTTGCTTAATGGCAAATGAGACTGTGCTGAGCTGAAGCTCAGAGTAGCTAATTCAGTGGTTGATGTTCCCGTAGCTGGTAATTACAGAGTCACCATGGAAATCCACTCCTCACTCCAAATATTTATGTTCAAGTATTTGGATTTTTTTAGGAAGAAATGATTCCCAAGATGTGTGTTCGAGGGCTGGCTTCATTCTGCACTGTCAGTCAGATGATGTTGCTTGAACTCAATTTTCTGACCTTAAAAATTAGAATAATATTGCTTCTTTCTAGACCCCATATGGTTTTTAGGCTCAAAGGGAAACTACAAATTGCTGTGTAGCAGTACTATTTAAAGATAATCATGGAAATAGAAGATTCTCATATTGGTACACATTAAATTAATTTCATTTGAAATTATTTTGTGTCTTAAGATGACAAACAATATTTAATTTATCCAAGCTAATTGTATTTTGTTATAGTTCCTTCCAGAATGACTAGTAATCTTGATAAGTTGATTACAGCTAAACTGGATAGTGCCTATATGACAGTGCCCTTGGGATTTATGCCTAGACAATTATATAGAACATATGTTCGTGTATTACTAATGTTGGATTATGCTGCCCAGTGGATTCTCAGAAAGAATCTTGTTATATTGATTTTTCTATCTGCAAAAGGTTGTTATGTAACCAGTTTGGAAAGTGTGATTGTAGGAATTAGTAATGTTTATTGTAGGAGGGAAAATGTCTTATTTTATTTTTTAACTTAAAAAAAAATACTTATTTATAGTGTGTGTGTGTGTACAGGAACCTGTGACACAGCATATGCATGTAGATAAAACATCAACTTGTGAGGGTTGTTTCTCTATTTATACTAACTGGGTTCCAGCTCAGGTTGTCAGGCTTGGTGGAAAGTGCCTTTATCTGCTTTTTTGCCAGCCCCAAAGACTAATATAATAATATATTTTATATTTTTTATGTAGCACGAATCTTAAAAGGTCTTATTAATAAAAACAAACCCAGAGCCAGGATTGGGGTGAATGCTGAAAGATGAGAGAAAGAGAACAGGCCACAGCTAACCTCACCTTGCCAACTTCTCAGCCAATCCTGTTTCCTCAAACTGGAAGCCTCTGAATCCTCATCCAGAATGGATCTCAGCTGAACTGGTGCTAAAAGCCTAAAAGCTTAACCAAGCTCTAGTTCCTGGTTTTCATGCCTTATATACCTTTCTGCTTCCTGCCATCACTTCCTGGAATTAAAGGTATGTTTGGCTGTGTGCTTGAATATACAGAGACTCTGCCTGCCATGTGATCGGATTAAGGGCATGTGCTACCACCACCTGACTTCTGTTTATGGCTGTCTGTGACCTCTGATCTCCTGGCAAACTTTTATTTATTAACATACAAATAAAATATCACATTTCAGCACAAATATCACCACATTTCCTCTTTTTTTCTAATAAAAATAAAAAAGAATAAAAAAGTTATAACTAATATAAGAAAAATTATATACAATAGGTACAATAACTATATACAATATATACAAGCAATAAATACATCAACAATGTCTAGTCCATTTACATTTGACAAACTCAGAAAAAATATTCCAGTATCTATCCTATTTTGGTAAGTCCAAAATGTACCTGAATCACTTTCTATCCTAACTTATATTTGTAAGTAAACTGCAAAAACTCTGGGTTTGGTGTCCCGGGTTTCGGCACCAAATGGTAGTAAATTGATGGCTGAAACTGCAAGGAGACAGTTCAGCCCTAGAGGGCGAGGTATCCAGGACACCTCGAGGTACTCAGAACAAGAGCTCTGCCCTGAAGGTGTCCCGGACACCTGGAGCTGTTTAGCACAGCTCTGATGGCTGGGACTGCAAAGAAACAGCCCAACCTTGGAAAGGAAGGTTTCCTGACTTCTTGGGAGAGTCAGGCCTGGAACTGCTTCAGCAAGGAAGGGTATCCTGACTCTTTGGGAAAGTCAGGATATACCTAGTGTGATGGGGCATGGTCTCCCCACAGGACACAGCAATCCTTCTCCTCTCCTGGAGAGCCACAATCTCTGGCTCAGTGTTACCAGCTCTTTGTCACTCAGTCCACTATGGGACTTCCCAGCAAGGTTCTTCTGTTCAGCTCCCCCTTGCTCAGTCCACTATGGGACCTACCAGCAAGGTTCTTCTGTTCACCAGTCAATAAAGGTCTTCACCCAATACTCTTTTGAGAAAGAGGTTTATTTGGGAAGAAGGAGTCCAGGAGAGTAGCTGCCTCTACCAGGGTGGAGAGAACAGCTCACAACTGACCGGGCAGGGCGGTTTATATAGGATGTCTTGGGGGCAGAGTCAACTGTGATTGGTTAGTTTATCTTCTGCTCAGGGATTGGTCAGTTTTGTGAGCAAGGGGCAGAGATGGCCCTAATTTCAGGGCCAAACTGTGCTTCTTTCACTGGCCTTTCTTGGCTTTTTGACACTAACCTCTAAGGCCAGAGTACATTTCTTTCACTGACTCTGATTCTAGGAGCCAAGAGTGTTATTTTGGTACTAGTTACAGAGTCAGGGCATATTTCCTGGGTTCTGGGTTTGAGGATAAAGTGTTCATTTCTCTGGCTCAGGTCCCAAACACAGGCTGTGTTTCTTTCCCTGGTCCTGGACCCTAGGACCAGGATTCTA